GCATTTTATCACAAAATAAGTGACTCATACCAACGGAGTTTGTTAACTTGTTTAACCTAACAAAGTTTTTTTTTCTTTTTCTTTTTTTTTTTCTCTATTTATTTTTGTTTCATTAAAGAATCTCGTTAGATATGTGCAATGTAAATGACCAAATTATCCTCACACGTATGGTACATGATAGGAATATAATAGAGCTGGTGAGGTTAAAACCAAATACAATGCACTAAATAACCAACTTTTAACATGCAAGGACGATATCTAGAGCTTATTCGAACTACACGTATGATATTTAGTTTACCTATTTTGGTAAAATATTTATTGTTCAAGGAAATGTGAAGTGTATTGCACATTTTTATAAAATATACAAGCAACAATTAATACTATAACGACGTCACATTATTAATAATATTTCAAAAAAACTTTTGAGCGAAATATGAGATATGATGGTATTCGGGGTTGATCAATAAAAAATCGTTAAGATTAATCGTGCCAAGATTGTTGGAGAATAATGATCAATTCAGTTACGATTATCTAAGCTGCCTAAGAATTGTATGAATTATCATGTAGGTTGCGGTTTTCGAGAAAAACAACCTATCGAACGCTACCGATTCAAGTTGAGCACATTATGCGATTTTTATGAGATATATAAATAATTATTACAAAATATTTTATCCATGATGTTTGTATGATGTGTGTATATGCATATGATGATAACTTGATTGTATTGATGTACATGATATTCAAGTATATGCATGATGTGAAAGATGATGATGACGAGAAAGATTACAATGACTTGATATTAATATGATAAACAAGTATGTGTATAATGTGAAAGATGACGATGATGCATATATGATTTATGTTATCATTTGCATGAAATGTATATTGCATGCCACGATGAGATTTGCATTAAAGAGTAAGTATTGTAAATAAATGGTACGCAACTAGTATGCGGCAAGATTTGTCCACCGAACGGGGTGGGTTGGACATGAAAGGAGGACTTGCAATTCCGAGGTCTTGGGATCCTCGTCCATAGAGTACGCCACATACACAAAGAAAAGTGACGAACTGAGGCATCACTTGCAAGATAATAACTAAAATACATTAAAACATTGTTTATATGTGCATGTGATCATGAAACCATATTGTATTCACTAAGCTTTTAGCATATGCTATACATGTATATATCCCAGGTGTCAACTGTCGTTAGACGAGTTAAATGAAGAAAGACAGGACTACGTTTTGAATCATGCTTGATTAGCTATTTTAATTAGCATTGATTATGTTTAAGTATTTTACACTTCCGCAATTATGTAATGAATTATGTTAAACACATTATGTATGTTTGAAATTTGTAAATTCGTATTTTGTTCATGACATAAGTTATTAAGAATGACGTCACGACACTCGGAAAAAAAATCGGGGCGTGACATTATGTCATCAACTAGTTTGTGTTATATGAGATTTTTTATTCATCCATTTGTTATCGAAGTATGTAATAATTTTATTTTGTATAACTCAAAGGAATTTAGACATTTAAAGGAAATATTCGAGTCAAATTTGTATGAACAAAACAACTTGCCGTTATTGAAAAATCAAAACATATGCAACCAATAACACATTTCATATACTTTACAATCATTCGACGTGGAAACAAATGAGGCTTATTTTAAGAACAACGATAACAAATTTCTGAAAGGACATGTTCCTGTCCGACACTCGAGCATTAAACGACCACTAATTTCAAGATTACAAGAAAAACATACATACCCAGACATCGTCTTTCTTCGAACAAACGTTAATGGATGTTTGTGATAATACTTAATTCTAGTGCCAGTTACCTTTAAATTTTCATAAAAATCGATTGGATTAATGCAATCTAGGTGAAATGAATTTTTGCATTTGTGACAATGATAGAGAGGATGCTTGGGGTGCATTTCCTTCTCACATATGTCACAAAAGAAATCTTCAGGATGGTCTTCGACCGGGGGGTACGTCAACGGGATTTCATGTCCTTTGCAATACCTATGAGTAAGAAAATTAGGAGACCGTATTGCACAAAACATGTCTAGTTGGAAATTACAAGATTTGCAAGCAAAGCTGATCCCCGTAGATGTCTTGTAACATGCCTTACAACTACTTTCGCGATTAATAACTTGGATAAGAGGATGTTTGTGAGATTTATGTTTGATGGTGTTGGGTAAATTTGCACAGTTTACATCGAGGTAGAACTTGCAAGTTTCACATCTGTAGACGAAGGTGTTGCCCCAGCTAAAACAACCATTGCATTTATAGTTGAAGCCATTTGCATGGCTGTCTAGCAAGTCAAGCGAGTGATCCAGATGAAGTTGATGTTGTATTGTTCGTGGTAACTTGGCACAATATTTGTGGATAGTAAATGAACATCCTCGTTTGCAATTATAGTATGGAAAGGAGAGGGGTCGGATGCATCCATAACATACCTCTATTGGTTTACGACAACCAATGTTGGACATGTTATTACCTTGAGGTTCAACGTTAAGAATCAATGGATGTTGATGACTCCAATGGCTAATCTGTTTTGCACCATCATCATCTAAAGTTATCTTATCCGCATGAAGTAATTTTAGTGGATCTGTGAATATATCGGACATGGGAAAATGTAGAAAATCATCTACGCCTGTTTCATTAAGAGAGGTACCTAGAGAATCGCTGAAATGACGTTCAATTTAGAATAAGCATTCACAACAAAAATTGAAAATATAGAAAGGAAAAGGAAAAGTCTAACCTTGGAATGGAAGGTTGCTCTGCGTTTAAGGCACACTTGATATGGGCAAAATATCTACAGTTTGCACAATGATACAACCAACCGTGTTTTAGGATAAGTTTGTTGCAGAACTCGCAGTAATAACGAAAATTATAGAAATTATCCGGGAGCGAATAGACGAGAACGAGAGGCTGGTTAGGATGGTGGGGTAGATCAATGGTGGGGGCTAAGGAAGCACAAGTCTTGTGCATCCAAAAATCACAACTACTACATTGATAGAATAAGTCTTC